ACTAAACACATTGCTCCCTCTGTCCCAATATAATTGCGCACATTAGATTAGAAAATGCTTGTCGCTCTCCTAGAATAAAAATGCGTATGTTCACTGTATAAAACTACTTTACATATCCATTTTCAAAAGTGTAACGACCAATGAAATCAAAGAAAGTGTGTGTCTCAGAACCAATCAAACGGGCAGATATAACATACTTCCTCTGTTTCACATGACTGGTTGCATTTCACTTTGACCCCAAAACTATATTTCTTGTCCAAATTTAGTGAGCCGTATCGTGTTCGAAAGAGAACGAAAAGATACGAGAAGTATCTATTGACTGGACACGGCGAAAATGAACACAAACCACCGAAAAAAAATTCCGCCGTACCCTCGTCCACAAAATTAAAAAATCTCATTATTGTTTTCAAAACTACGGGACCTGACATCATCGCCGACATGGACACTGAGCACACCAGCCGAGAATTCACGCATGAGAGAAAGATGGAGGTTATTAAGCGACTCCAACAATGCATCAACTTGAGCAAGCTTTCCCGCGGTGACATCAAATTGACGGCTGTCGCCATGGGAACAAGCCGCAACACTGTGACCAATCTTTGGAAGGACTTCAAACTCACCAGTACGATTCGCTCCGGTAAGATTGGTCGTGTCGGCCGTAAACCTACGTACACGCAAGCTGAGATCACCGACCTCGTGCGTATGGTACCAGAGGGTCAGCGCTCTACGATGCGCGACATTGCCGAGGCCACTGGCATCCCCCTTACCCCGCTCCACCGCAGCCTCAAGCAAGGAACGTTTGAACGCCGGTCCTCGCGCTTGAAGCCGCTTCTGACCGATGCCAACGCGCAGCAACGTCTCGCATGGGCGTAGTGCACCTGGATGAGAAGTGGTTTAACGCAGACAAGGACCGCCGCAAGGTGTACCTGACCAAAGGCGAGACTGTTAGTCGTCGGGTGTGCAAGAGCAAGCGCTTCATTTCGAAAGTCATATTCTTGGTGGCGGTAGCGCGCCCTAGAATGGATGAAGATCGTGGTGTCATGTTCGACGGGAAGATTGGGATGTGGCCGGTGGTCAAGTACCTTCCCGCAGCGCGCAGCTCTCGCAATCGGCCTGCCGGTACCTTGGTCACTACGTTGTTCAATGTCAACGCAGTGGTGTGTCGTGCCTACGTCATCTCACGTGTCATACCTGCCATCAAGGCCAAGTTCCCAAGGCGCAACAAGCATGTTGTTCTTCATCATGACAACGCCACACCGCACGCTGCCATCACGGACGAGCTCCTTGCGACCGTTTTCACCGACGGGTGGACGTTTGTCGTCTGGTGCCAGCCACCGAACAGCCCGGATCTCAACGTGCTCGACTTGGGCTTCTTCGCATCCATCCAGTCCCTACAATACAAGTCGGTGAGTCGTACAGTTGATGACATCATTGGTGCAACGTTCCGCTTTCGAGTGAGAAGTTGGAGAATGTGTTTCTCACCTTTCAAACCGTCATGAGACTTGTTATCCAGCACAACGGGGACAACCAGTTTCGCCTTCCCCACTTGGGTAAGGACGCTTTGAGACGCACGGGTGCTTTGATGGCAAATGTGTCCTGCCCTGTGGCGCTGTTGGTCTAGGTCGTCGCAATTCCGACCGTAACCTTTTGTAACCAATAACATGCAAGCATTTTTGTTTTGGCCAATCACAATAAATGCCACCAGTAATGTGGAAAAAGTTGATTTTGAAATGCCACCAGTAATGTGAAACAGAGGAAGTATCTGACAATGATATTTGCATCCGGAGGAGGTTAACCCCTTCGGAACCCTCCGATGTAACGAGCTCACCAATACCATCCTATATCTACACTTGCAATAGCTTAGACTTCACTTGTTCAGTAATACAGGCCAACTTTCTACCCACCTTGCCCTACTTTCTGACTCCTTGTTGCCGTCGACAACTTCCTCCGGCTTGGCCTGGATGACCACTCCGCGGATGGTAGAATGGTCACATCTGTACTTGTCCGCAAACACCTGTGCGATGCCCATGTGCAATCATGCCCAGGAGGCCTTGCTGCTGTTGAGCAGGATCTCCAGAGGGATGGTCGCGCTTGTTTACACGCAACACGAATATTGGTCTTAGGTTTATTTGATTTAAGAACGCCGAAGGCATCGACCAACCTTCCGGATAATTTGTCAAATTCCAGATAAAAAAATATTCGGTGCTGGTGAAGTGATATTTTTCATTAAGAAAGCAATTGACTGTTAGAGAGTTACTCATCATCATCATAGTCACCCCAGGTGCATTAGTTGACATCGCTTCCGTTTTCGCTCTCTGAGGAGAACGCTGTTCCAGCCAAATCATCTGTTTCGTCAAATGGAGTCCAGGTACGCGACAATATCCACAACTTTGCGATCTGTATTGTCAAAGCATTCGGAAATTTCACTGCTCGGTAGGTGGACAAATTCACGGTCAATCCGCTTACGCGCGTCAGAGAATGTTGTCGAGGTATTATACAGTCGCCCATCAGCTCCCTTGACGTAGGACCAAATCATTTCGAATTGTAGGTCACTGTGATTCGCCGGTGAGAAGATGCCATGGTAGCCGCGGTCCGTGGCCATCTGTACGACGACAGGTACGATGTTGGCTGCGATGTGGGCATTAACTTGGCCCACAATGTCGAACGATATTCTCTGACGTCGAATTCGATGCCAAAGTGGCGCACGTCTGCAGCATTCTTGCAATCGTCCACGTTTGTGTAGGTGTATTTCCGGTAGACCCTTGTGGTCCATGTCATTGTCTAACACAATGATCGCGTTCGATTTTTGTAGAGCAGCGATGTCGTCAAGCAAGCGTAAGACCATGTGACAAAGTAAGCCTGGTTAAACATTTCTTTGTAGTCCTTGGATTGTTTTCGATCTCTTTCAAATGCTTCGTAGGTCAAGAGGTTGTGGTTGTCGCAGCTGCCAGCCGTTATGGCAAGAATGAAGCAGAGCTGGCGTCCTTTGTGTTCGGTTTGGCGTCGGTGGCGTCGTCATGATAGTATATACTGTCATTATGAATAGGATGATGGTGTATATATTGGATTCAAGGCGGTGATTTTGGCACCGATTTGAGCGAAAACGGAGCAGTATTGATTGAGTTATCGTTAAAATACGATGTCGTCAATGTATACTTGGTGACCTCTTCAAATTTAATTATGGAAGGGCATATTATCATATTTGAATTGTCCTGATTGGTCAGAATAGTTTTCGTATTTTCGAACTTTGACATCCAATCATAATACTAGAACTGTGCCGAATTTATAACTTCAATGAGCCTTAAATTCCATCGTCGTCTGTAATCGCAAACACCACAAGCACTCAAATTGTAAAAAGGTCGGTCGATGCGTTCGACCACTGTAAAGTATGTAAAATTTGAGAGGGACTTGTGTCAATGTTTCTGAGAATTTTCCCCTCATTGACACTTGCATTGGAAGCTCTTGGCGCGCTTGTTCCTTTCGACCAATCAATCACGTGAAATTCAACTTAGGGAAGGCGGTATACAAGTATAAACATCACTCCCAAATGTAATGACGAGTCATGTCTCCCCTCCGCAAAACTACGCAAGTATTCTGGGACGGAGAGAGTATTACTGATACTAAACTTACTATTACTTACTATTATACTAAGGTTTTCAAGGTATTATCCTACTTAACTTCATTTGTCATGTGTGAATGAAAAAGACATACATAATTTTATAATGACATGATATTCAAATTAATAAGGAAGAATTTAGTGATGACGAAATTAGTATCGAAGGAAGCTTTAGTGATGACGAAATTAGTATCGAAGAAAACTTTAGTGATGACGAAATTAGTATCGAAGAAAACTTTAGTGATGACGAAATTAGTTTCGAAGAAAACTCTAGTGATGATGAAATGTCTATTCAAAGTAATAATTCAAGTCTAAATTCACACGAAGTAAATCAAGATATAGATGTTTTACATGTACCTTCTGCATATATTGAATAAAGAAGTCACCTGCTCACTTGAGTTGTCACCGACAACCAACTTCACATCACACCGAAAAGCAAAGGGAAGTTCTGTGGTCAAAAATTGCAGACGATTGGCCCTCCACATCACAAAAGATTGTGCTTCACATACACCAAGCAGCTCCACATTATTAATTGAAGAAAATAACACTCAATGGACTCAGCATATGACCGCTTCTTTGGTGGTATGCAAGGGACCTCACGACTTTCCGCACAAAAAAGAGTGCTCCGCTGGGAAAGCAACCGCGCTTATACAACGAAGAAAGCTAGCAATCCTGCCACTGCGTCGCAAAAGAACTCACGCCAAATCGACACTGCAACTACGCTCGATAAATAGCAAGAAGGACAAATTATCATGTGGATAAACGATCTTCATACTGACGGAATTACAGTGAGTCGCTTCCTTTTGCAATCTAAGGCAGGAGATAATTTTATACAAATGTTTGTTGGATGGGAAGGTGTAGGCCTTTGTTCTTATCTTTTAATTAATTTTTGGTTATGTTTGTTGGATGGGAAGGTGTAGGCCTAGAGCTAGTAGTAGCACATTGGAACACGAGTTCAAAGCTAGCCAACCTTGGATTACGAGATTTATGAACCGCTGGAAGGTAAATATGCCAAGACCTGGAAGTCCAACACAGAATATGGTCAAGCTACTTGGGCAGAGTTCAGCAGCCGCATGCGCAACTTGATCGCCACTGAAGATTTTGATGGAATATTCCATGAGGATGAGACTGGAAAAAACTATGAGTGCATTCCAAATACCACAATTGATGAAATGGTGTCAAAGGCCGGGTGATTTCGTTGCTCAGGACGCGAGAAGGACCGTATCAGGGCCATGGTACTGGCGAACACCAAGGGCACAAAGTATCCTATGTTCTTATCCTAAAGTCAAGAGCATAAAGATCTATGAGAAAGTTGTCGAAATCCTGACGCAACGAAATGACTTTGAGCTTGCCGTGTGACTCAAACCCGAAGAGTCCACGAACGGCTTCCCTCACCCTTGTATGGCAGCCTTGCGGCATCGTGGAACAGTGAGATTTCCAAAGATTTCCTGAATTGTTGCCATCCCAAAGGCCATGACCTCAAGAAAGTCTTGCTCGTATGGGACGGTTTAGTGCTCATTTATGTGATGACATGGTTACCTGCGCAGCAACAATGAATGTCATCCTGGAAAAATACCGCCAACATAACCTGTATGTGCCAGCCAGTAGATGTTGCGTGGATGAAGCCAATGAAGGCTGCACTGCGCGAGGGCTCGGTGATCTACGTGAAAACCACAATAATGGCGAAGGCAACTTTCACCTGCGCCCACCGTCACGATTCGACTTGGTTGAGAGGGTGAACAAAGCATGGGAGGTCCTTCCAAACTCTAAAAATCGACCGTGGGTTTGTCAAATGCAATCGATAGCGAGAATAACGTACCCGACGGAGCAGAACTAAGCGCCAACAAAAACCGCCAAGCAACAGAAGAAATTGCCTCGCTCCTGCAACAAATGGGCATCCATGAGGTACGCTGCGATGCAGTTGTGGAAACTTTCGACGACATTGATGTTGGCGCCGACATATACTGGGAAAGACAGAATGCAAGACCCACCTTGTCTTCGATGTCAAGTGAAATTCTGGATCTGGTTGGCCAGAGATCTTCGAAGTTCGATGAATATATTAACCTATCACAGTGCCTTCCACAAATTTTAATCACTTCAAGAGGAAATTAAATTTACACGTCGTTTAATGTTTGAATTTCTAGGCACTAAGTCCATGAATTTCTCATTTCAAGAGGTCATACGTCTACACAGGTCTAGGCATATACATCACCATGGATACAATAAACACGACATAATCGTAATCGTTCGACGTGATAGCGCAGTGGTTTACCACGTTGTGTGTCTTGAGTGTGCCCCGGGCGCGTCGAGTTTTTTAGAATAAAAATCTAGTATCACAATTTAGAATTTGTATGTAATAAAAATACAAACCAATGTATATTATTCAATTATCTGGAAGAGCACGTTCAAAGCTCTGACGAATCACTGGAGAAGACACCAAGTCCCAGGCAGCGATGGCGCGCTTCACCATGGCCAAGTGCTTCTGCTGCGAGGTAGGTGAGAACGGATTATCGTCTTCCCCCAACACATGTTCCTCATACCAACCACGGGTTTCGTAGGTTGCGCTTGAAGGGTGCCGTCACGCCAACATCCAAGGGCTGACAGACTGAAGTTGCGTTTGGAGGCAGGGTGCACAGGTGAGCTCCAAGTTCTTCATACAAATTTTGTAGGACTCATCGGAGACGTCGGAGACGTGGCTTTCGAAGTTGTCGACGAGCACAACTGAAGGGCCTTCAATGCAACGACCAAGAACATCACGCAGGTAAAGTGCCCGTGCGCGTGCATCCATCCAGGCATTCTCTTGCATCGCGTAATGGGCTTCCTTGGGAAACGTAGGGAACTCACTAGTTTCAATCCGCCCACCAGGTACGCCACGCATGATAATCAACAGAGGCAACTTCTCACCATTTCCTGTGGCTGTAAGCACCGCGGCCATGCGCATTGAGTGCTTTTCGGCCGAGGAAATTTTGGAACTGCCGCCACGCGAAGAGCCCAAATGAAGCTGG